TTTCAAGGAAAAATATTTCGAGAGACCCACGACGGGGTAAAAGTGAAGTGTAATTATTCTAAGTGTCGCGTACGGAATCTGTTTAAACAGATCTCCTGTTTCATTTGGACAAATTTTTCCTCGAGTCAAATTACGACCAATTCCACGTATTTCACTTGCAAATGAGAACCTCATGCTGCCTATAAAGCTTTTCTGCAGCTTTGAAGCTTCACCGCCTTTTCCCTAAGCAACTGATTTTCCTCAATTCGACGGCTGAACGCTGCTTAACCTAATTTCACTTTTCCCAAAGTATGAGAATCTGTATACGAAGTAAGTAATATTGAACTACTTCCGGCACTTCACTTATATTTATGTACCATGTCACTATTCTATTATAATCCTTGTTCAATAAAATAAATCTTTCTGTAAATTTTATTTTGGAGATAATTGTGCAACTGGAACGAATTTTTCATTTCGTTTATTGGCATACAGAATGTCTTTTATTATAGTTAATTAGTTTTAACAAATTTAAAATTCAACGAAGACTCACTTTTTTCGATGATAAAAGATACCTTCCATTAACCCATATCCATCCCTCATTTTCCCAACTTTAATTTGTCTCACGGTGTCAAATTGATACAACGGTAAAAAATTAATATAATAAAGAAATAAATAATTAAATTTGCAAATTCGAAATTTTAATCCTCGTACGCTGCTTTAAAAAAGCTATTATTTTATTACCGCTTAATTTTCATCCGTTCCTCATTTTCCCAACTTTAATGTGTAGGTGTAAAATTGACACAGTGGTAAAAAGGTAATGTAATTGAAAGATGAATAGTTTAATTTCTAAAATATTTCAAATAAAAGCTATGGAGCCCTAGCTAAACTTACTGACACATGGCAGAACGTCATTGTTTAGGAGAGATCCAAGCGACGAATGAGGGTTAACTAATTTTCTAGTTTGTCATAATATCGTTTTTATTCCAGTTTATACGCCGGTAAAATGTATCCACCAGCAGCCGTAAAATGTAAATATGTTCAGCCCACAAGCCGAAAGTACACGAATTACTGAGTATACAAGCGACGCGTCGTGTTTGTCACCGCCATTAGCACCATCTACGGCCTCAAAAGCCTACCGCAACCTCGTTTCGCTATAAGAGAACACTACTCCACGCTTTAAAAATCCTGACTCGTTACAACATATACAAATCAAAATTAATTCCAAATCCCTTTAACCCCTTAAACCCTTTTCCCCAATTATGAGGTTTGATCAAAGAATTCCCGAAATATTAATTTGCTTCGACAAGTATTCCTTTATGCATGGATATTGATATGGTCCCCTTCAGAGCAGTCCCTATCGGATACAACACATTTATGCCAGTGTTTTTTCCAATTTGCAAAACACTTCTGAAACGCACTTTTCGGTACAGTGTTTAGCTTATTCAGCGATTTTGCCTTTATCTCCTCTACGGTCTGGCTTCACGACATATCACTGCTGATTCGAGAATTTTTGCTGAAAAACAACACTGTAGTGATGCTGAAAATGGGAAAAAAACGCTGACACAAGTGTGTTTATATCCAATGGGTACTACTTTGAAGGGGACCATGTCAAGATCGACAAATAAATAAATAATCTTCTGAAATAAATAAAAATTCCAGGAACTTCTGGATCGAACCTATTTCGACAAATCGAACGAACGTGTCCCAACGATACACACACACTGAACATTCGATCCGCCAAAAAATGTCGTATCACACGCAATTATTGTCGTGTCGTCTATTTTTAGGGCCGATTTTAAGTTACGAAGTGGCCCTGACGTCAGGCCTGGTGTAACAAGGGCTCAGGGGTTGGGCGGATCTCTAAACCGAGGGAGAGAAAAAAGAAAGAAGGAGCCGCCACATGCAAAACAGGTTTATAAACATGTAAATTGCAATTACGCGCGAACGTATTTGCATTCGACCCCGGCGAGAGCCAGCCAGCCCACCTTCGTTTCTCCTTCGAGCCGGCATTAGCCTTCGTCGGTCCGCCTTCATGCTCCCGTGGAGTATTCGCGCGAGAAGGCTTTTCGTGTCGCCGGTACTTTCAATGACCCGGCCGGTTCTAGGTGCTCTTGGTATGCGAGCCTTCGTGTTCGAGCATTATTCGTCACCAGGCGGTTCCGTGAGCCAGTTTGATAGCCGGATGATATTAGGCTGCCACGAAAGTTCTGACCCCTTCGAAGATATACATTGAACATGAATTTAATTTTATCAAACCTGGCGTTTCTATAGCCGGGTCACTAGTGATCTGTCGGTTAACCGTAGTCACCGAACTGTTTACAGTAAATCCTCGATGAGTGTTCGAAGACTCCTCGATACTGACAACAAGAAGTCCCCAGAGTCAACATTGACATTTTAATGAGCTTTAGCACAGCGATACAGCTTGACATTCTGAAGCTAATAATATTTATTTCAGTCATATATGGCGATTAGTTTATGAAATATTCAATATTCAGTACCAAGGAGTCTTCGAAGACTCATCCAGAATTTACTGTACATGGCGACAAAGCCAATACAGTCAGGCACGGTCAGTTTCCTTGTGTGTGTTAGAATCTTTCTGTTTTATTTTTTGACAAAGTAACTGGGAGAATTAATGCAGCAACTGAATGTGAAGAGCGGGGTCAGCGAATGGCTCGGCCAGAATGTTCCCTGTGGGGACTGTCATTGATAACAGCCGTAATTACGAGTAATGTACTCGAGATTTTTTCCCCTATTCGCCGACGGTAATTTTCACGTTAAGCGTGAAATCGCCGGTATCAAGATTTCAGACCTATATTGCGCCACTTTTTTTAAGGAACGTTCATCGAGAATGCTGCCGGGGTGGGTTAATTACAGTCATTTGCGTCTGTAGGCATCAACAGCGGGATAAGTGAATCGATATGGAGCGTAATTAGGTTGGAATATAAAACGAAGAGCTGTGGAAAGGCCAATAATTTATATTACTGGTTTTACGTATTTATTGGGTGTACCAATGAGCAATTAAATATGTTTTTTTTTTGGTTCACAAAGTCTAGTAATGCAATTTAAACATGAAACTGTTTATTATCCTTTTCAAAATAAATTTGGTAGAAAATAACTGAATTTATTCAACTAATATAGAAGGGATTATTAAAAGAATTATATAGATCTTATAGAAGAATTATGAGTATTCTCTAGAAGAATTTATTAAAATTCTGAAAGTATTATTTTTATTGAATTATAATGGAAATAATAAGTTCCACTTATAGGCAGATTTTTTACGACAGATTTGATACGACATTTTACATTTGAAACGGATTTTATTTGTCAAACCAAATTTCGATTGATTAGATACACCTTTTCCAACCGGACATTAAGTTTATTAATGTGAAAAGAATACATTACGTATAAGTGAAGAAAATATAGTTCCATAAATATTAATCGTCAAATAGTTGTTGGAAAACCACATTTGGGAACAAGCATTGTATTATAAAAACTATCATGTATATGCTTCGGTGGATGAGGGAAGCGTCTAGCATTACGGAACTTGTTTGCCAAACATACGTTACTTTCCTGAAATTTTACGCCGGGGGAAACGAGGCGCAGAAATTCAGTAGTACGAAATACGATATTTCATCCGACGGAACTTCGAGCTCTGCCTAAACCGTCATGAAAGTTCCAATACACTTAAACTACTTTAAAACAACATTATTTTCGTTTTAACTCCTGGCTTTTTCATCCAAGTCAAGCAATAACTACATCTGTAAAATTTATTTTTGTTTTCTTGAAATAAAAGAATTTACGTGAGAAAAAATCGCAACGATTAAACTTTCGACAACTGTGTTGGTTTCATATGAAGTTACTATGGATAAAAGATGTACGAATCTTACCTAAAACTTGTTTCTTTTTAACATAAAACTGAACATTTCTAAATAAAACAAAAATATCGTATTTACATTATTTATTTATACAATATTTATACAGACGGATTCAAAAGAAATTGAGCATATGCAAAATTTTAATCAAAATAAAAATCAAATCATAAAGAAAATAGAAAATTTTCTATTATTAAAATTCTACAATGTTAATTTTCGAAAGTGCACAATGTTTCGAATCATATTATATTAGCATTAAACGATATTATTTTCTTGTTTCATAAGGGTTTTAGCAAGTATAAAACTCCCAATGAATTAATATTTCATTTTACGATACAGGAGAGGATAAACATAGAAGCGTTCATTAATTTAATACTATATGACGAAACCCCTAACCTTTGTAACCTTTCAAAAGCAATTCTGATTATCACTGACCATTTCACCTTTTAACAGGAAAAAGATTACCTTTTCATCGGATAGAATACCAAGATTGTGTTCTCATACTGGATATTTAAACAATTGCACTCTGCGACTAAATCACGGAAAAGTAAGGAATGAACATTTACTGTATAAACAATGAATATTCTACATAACAGCACATTTATATAAAAAATACATATTTAATTTTCTTTATTCGAAGATCCTCCAATCAGCTAACTTCAGTAAACAACTAAACCTTTTCAAACATCCTACAGATTGATTACAGACATTGTTTATCAGATTGCTATCAGTACAACATTATGATCACCGTGAACAAGCAATAACCGTGAAGAAAATCAATGAATATTCTACCAAACAGCACATTTATATAAAAAATACATATTTAATTTTCCTTCATTCGAAGATTTTCCAACCATCCAACTAACCTTTCCAAACATCCCAGAAAGTAATTACACACATTGCTTATTAGATCGCTATCAGTACAACATTATGATCACCGAGAACAAGCAATTACCGTGAAGAAATTCGATAAACAATTAAGAAATCGTAATTTTCCTCTTCAGTGAACTGCAACATGCAGGCTCGCGTTAATTTAGCTCGAGATGCGGTCGACAAACACACTATTCAACGCAATAATAACACGTTAACCAACGGCCCAAGGTATGCAATTACAAATCTACACGTCCACGCTTTAATCTGTTGTTCCAGGCGAAGGAAGCCATGAACGAGCTGGAAGGGATCGATCTAACGGACCCGGATCTCCACAAAGCGGCGACGAAAATCCAGGCGAGCTTCCGGGGTCACAAGGTCCGCCAGGAAGTGTTATCGACTCCAGGCACCGAGGAGACCAAGAACTAAAAAAAAAACAAAAACAAAAACAAAAACACGAGCCGTAAACAAAGACCGCGAGTAGCTGATCTTTCGAAAATCGAATCGCCGATAGTACGCCCGAGAAATAAGAATTGAAAGAGAAAAACAAACAAAAAATAAAAGTCTAAGCGACAACTATAAAAAACTAAAACAAGCGATCGAACCAGTAGCGAGTAAAAATCGGGCATGAATCTCTCTTTTTGGTTTTTCGTTTGTCGTCGAGTCCGCTTCGTACGATCGCATGCGAAATCAACCACAGTCACCGACTTGTGTCCCGATTCAAATGATCGCTTCGAAATCGTGGGTGGATTCCTTTTAAAAAGCATAAGAATCCGAACGACGTTTCGGGAGTAAAACAACATGTCTGTTTAAAATTGACATCCTTTAACGAAACGGAAAAAATGGCAGGATCGAATACGTGACAGAAAAGAAACGAATAATCTATCCGCTGTATTTATACTGTTTTCTCTTCTCTGTATTTGTAAAGAGCTGTGTAAAACCACGGAAAATTAAATTTTCCGATTCGCACCCCATAGATTCCTTCTGATTTCAGTTACACGTCGACCCGTGTTGCGTGTATATTTTCCACGTGCGTCTCGAACTCGAGTGTCTACAGATTAATATTTCCAAATACACCATCGGAGGACCTTTAATCCTCGACATATACGTCGTTTCACGGCTCGTTAACGGAAATTGGCATTCAATATGTAGAATGGCAGTATGCAGCAAACGAGTCGGAAGATATCGAGTAGGTCGCCGAACGGAGAGAAAAAGAATTGTTTCGATCTCCTATAACAAGCATCGCAAGGTGCATTCTATTAAATTAAGCAAGTGTAATTACTCGCGAAGGACCTTTCCCTCTGAAAGTCCCCAAAAGAAATGAAAAATAAAAACAGACGATTATAAAGTGATTAATTCGAAAGTCAGTTTCTTTCAATGTATTCTTAAAAAAGAAAAAAACAGATCCAACCGAATCGAAAGATATCGAGTAGGTCGCCAAACGGAAAAGAAAAATAATTATGTCGATTTCCTCGTAATAAGCATAACAACATGCATTATATCAATTAAGCAAATGTAATTACTCGAGAGTGACCTTTCCTTCTGAAAGTTCCCCCAAATAAACGAAAAATAAAAACCGAAGTATGCAAAGTGACTGATTTGAAAGTCAGTTTCTTTCGATATATTCTTGAAAAAACAAATCCAACCGAATCGGTTTAATCGAAGTTTTTATGAAAACCAGACTATGCATTTCGTGTTTGATGTCACCATAGAATTGGCGGTCGACGAAGCGAAGGGAAAAAAATATGTATTCCAACCGCCTTAAAGTATTAAATAACGATTTCGATAGGTGGTTGTGCCGAGTATTTTGTGAATGGCCCAGTAATAGATTGTATTTTCCCCATTGTACAAGCCCCGCTGGTACGAAATATACATACATATATACATATATGTATATATATATATATACCGTCGAGACTCGACGACCCCGGCGACTCGGCCATTCGTATCGAACGTATATTCGTCCCCATTCTCCCCTACGATATGTATTCAGGGAACAGCGGCCACAGAGATGAAGAATCGACAACGACTGGTTTGGAAACATTAAACGTCCGCGGTGGCGATCACACGAAGAACGAAGAGTCACCGAGTCCGGGAAATCAAACGAGTACAATCTCGCTCATAAGTGTTAGGACACTTATCGAATATTGTCGAGTAAAACGTTACGAGGCATTACGAAGTTGTCGAAAGTCTTAAAGAAATATCGTTTGGGGGATTTTAAAGCTCTATTGATAACGCTTACGCTACTATGAGGTAACAAACGTGGCCCAGAATATATCATTTTTACGAAACATCACATTTTCTTCGTACATACCAGGTGTCCTAATATAACTTACGAGCGGGGCAGTGTATACTTTCACCTGTACGAGTGGAATTGATTCAAGAATAGATACCGAAACGAACGCGCGAACAAATATTGTAACCTTTGATAATCATTTGAAAGTCGAAACCACCATCCCAGTTTTTTTTTTCTCTGAAACATTTACCAAGCCGTATTTAGAAAAAAGTGACGAAAATTCGTCGATCTTATCGTAATGGTATATTAAGTAAGTCTTAAAACCAAAGAAAACAAAAAAATGCTGAACGCAAAGAGATAATATGTATATGTATGTACAATGGTAACGAAACAATGAGAAATTCCTGTTCATTGAATAAATTGTCAACGAGGAGCAAGGAGAGCGTATTTTGACCGACAGCCATCGATCTAACATTAAGGATTATCCGTTATGATGTGTTGATACGCGGACTTATTTTTTAACGATAAGAATTTTTATGCTTTCGATGCACACAATCACACGACACACGTTATGGAGACCATAAGCTTGCGACCCCCACTGTAGAAGCCCTGACCATTAAATTAGAACCACACAATTTTCAGCATTTCACATATGTTTGATAAAATTTAAGGATCTGAACGTTATTCAATCATAAACATTATTAACTACTAAAATAAACACATACGTTTTTAATGTTTTTTTTACACACATACGGGAAAAGAAAGTTTTCTCAGCGAGCGATTGGAAACAGTTGCGAGAAACATTTATAGTGCAACAGACGACAGAAATTGGCTTAAACTTTAAGCTTTAAAGTCTATCGTAATGTAGTCTAATACGAAAAATATAATAATACGAAACAGAAAATGAACATTGTTATATACACTTGTTATTAATAATCTAGCATAAACATCTACTCGATCCTCAACTGCTCGTCACGCACTGTATGTCTCGCACAGTGCATACTCAATAATAATAAATAATAAGATCGCATGTATAGTAATACATAAATTATTAATATGTATGTGTGTAATATTTTAATAGCTCATACAATTCGCAATTAAATTTCCTGAAAGTTTTTCAATTTTACTGAAAATATGAAAGATGTTGAAAATCGTGAATGGTCCTAATTTAATGGCTAGAGCCTGTAGATGCCAAATAGTCGCGAGACGTTCATACATCTTAGTTGAACTGCCATTAACGAAGATCACCGTGGTTTCCATGTATCTGCGTTATCATCTAGTCTGTTAATGTTCTTTTGGGTTTCATATGATCGACCTTCTCCTAATTCTCCTCGGTTTGATCCGGTTGGTCATTCCGTGGGAGAGCATATTGTTGTTTTTAGCAGGCCTAAAAACGATACGCCCGCTTATAGTCGTCGTTACGGGCACTCGTGCCACCCCATTTTTTTTCGCTCATCCTTATCCTTTTTACCTCATTTTTTTGTTGCATCCCCTTCTTTCAATCTGGTTCACTCAGCACGAGATCGTGAAAAACCCGACGAGATTTAAAAATATAGACGAAATATTCAGAACCGTTATTAATCGGTTTTTTAAAATATTTTAACAGTTAATTATAATGTTTGAATAAGTGAGAATTCTAGACTTTAAATATTTTCATAATTCTGATATGTATGTATATTATTCAAAAGTCTGTTTTAATGACTTTGTTATCGATTATGGGAAGCAATACTTTAAATATAAATACATATTGCATAATTTAAAGAGCCAATACAAGTATTTCAATGTTAACTGGTGGGTTGAGTAATTTATTCAGAAAAGTAAAAAAGTACGATCGACGTAATTTTTATGTAATTTGTACTAAACATATAAACTTGGTGTAATTTCTACTAACTAAAAGCGATATTTAACACTAGAACTACCGACGATAAGAATCGATAAACATGACAAACTTTTCAAAATATACAAATTTATAAGGTAACTAATTTCCTCATTTTCTTACTACAATGTAAGTTGTGAAAGATCTGGCAAAACGTATTATTGTAACACAAAAAGTATATTACGACCCTATAAAATGCAAGAATACAAATTTAAACAAATAAAAGTAAACTGACCAATCAGTGGAAGATATAGTCAAATATGAACGTCGTGTTGAGTTGTCTTCCACATTTAACAAATTAATCGCAAAATATTTCACTTTCCTTTATTTGAAATCTCCACAAGTGCGTGTCTCTTTAATTAGTGCTACATAATTGTTTTCATGTTCCTTCTTAAAATATCATTTGTGCTCATTCTATTTATTGCAATATTTTATTTTTTCTTAAGACAAGAGTCAAACCAAAAAAGAACGAATCCTTCCTGGAAATATCGATCGGGATTTTGTTATGTATGCATGTCTCTCTGTCTCCGGATTATTACATAATTTATGACGTGCTGGGTCTACCTCAATACCATTAAATGTGCAGCGAAAGCTGTTATCGTTCTATCAGTCTCGTTAACGACCCAACTGTTGACATTGGTTGTAGTTTATTTTCCCTTGTACATAGTTTCAGTATGCGTCACCGATCTCCCAGCGTTGCGTTGTCACGTATCACGATAGTACCTTACATTTCGAAACAAAAGTTGCAACGAGCTGCAGAAATGAAACGTCAAAAAAAGAGACACGTTGCACAGAATTTTTCCGTATGTGCATACAACAGTCGCGTCAACAGATATTTTTTCGCGCGAAAATTTGTGAGAAAAACGATGATGCTTTAAACATTGTTTCGAATGGAAAAGCGATATAATAATACCTAAACAAAAAAAAAAGTGTGTATATTGTACAGTGCACATCGCGAAAAAAATTGATTATTATTTAATATATTGTATAAGTGCAGATTACTACACTGCGAAGAAAGATTATTCGATTTATTTCAAAGAATTATATCTTTAAAGTGTCTCTACTCTTGTTAACCATTATTCTCAGTCTCCAAACAAATGCATCATGAATCACTTTCATCTCCTTTCCATCGACAAAATACTTCTGCACTCATTGTTAAGCCTGTGAATGATTCTTTTTTGTTGTCGCGTCTTTCTAATACTCGCTCTGTCGATATGTCATATATTCCTTCAACGCTTTATCAAAGAAGACCGACGAAAAAACAACGCAAGTTCGAGTCACATTATCCAAATTTCCAAATGTTCGACATAATTCGTCGCACGACCTTTTTACACTATCCTCTGTACCATTCTTTATCCGACCCTGTATTGCATTTTGTCGTTATCTCAAAGGTTTCCACTTAACTGCTTCTTAGAAAGCTAACGAACATGTTGCTATCGTTGAAAATGTCTATGGAAGTAAATTCGTCGTCGACAGAAATGAATCGAACGTTAAAATAATACGAAAAGATTAAGCCGTTAACAGAAATAAAACCAGAAACTTTGATGCACGTTATTTGAAAAAGCCGATTCACACTGGCGACGCGTCGAGTCTCGGCAACGACACGCATAAAAATTCTATAGAATGAAACTCTTATTGCATTAAAATCTATTTATAATATTATATTCCTGTTATAATAAATATTTGTATGCTACAGGAACTAAGAGGCTCCTCTACGGAATATTATTATAACCCCATATTGACACTATATACATATACATATTAATACTATTAATATTGTATTTATATTATATATTATATGTGTACAATAATATTAATATTACCAAATATATTTATGATCTCCGTCAATGACACCGTGTAACAGCTGTTCTTTATCATTGCCGTTTAACGAGGATCGGCTTTATATTTTCATAAAGAAAATTATCGTTCGTTTCCAGGTGTATATCATTAACAATTTATTACATACATCGGTCCAGAGTGAGAAATTGTAAAAAAAATTCGAATCAGGTAATTTACAATATTTTACCCGAAACGAATATCATATTTCCATGAGTTTGTATTGGGAAGTAAATAAACGACACACAGAATATACAATTTGATTTGCTGTAAGCAAAATTGTTGCTCGAGTGATTCGTAGTATGTTAATGTATAATTGAGGACGTTTAACAATATTGGAGCTTCTGTAGTTACGAGGGATGTCTTTTGGAATTAACGAGAAAGGTTGTTGTAACAAATTATAGGCATTTTCTTCGGTACGTGACGATACCACACAGATCTAGATTAGTAACGCACAAGATTGTTGCGGTTAATTGTATTCTAAGGATGTAACAAACAATTGTAACGTTTAAACGAGCAGTACCATGTATGTAATCTGTTTGTTTAAAATAAATGCCCATTAAGTGTACAAAATGAGATCTCGATTTATGCTGTGAAAAATTAGAAACACACCTTTAGTTAAGTCAATCGTTTTACATTTGCGATTTCTTTATTTTACTAACAGTGTTGGATAAAGTTTGATTATTTAATAAAAAATAAAAAGTCGCATGAAGTTGTATACAGTGCGCGAAAGTCATATTTAAATACCCTTTAATTTACTCAAACAGTGTGCGCTAGATGTCGCCTCGATAACTTCGAAATGTTTTCTTCGCGGCATGTTGTTAACAAGTTACCAATAATTGTTATAATAACTGTTTTGCAATCGTCACTTGTAAATTTCTGACTGGTTATATTTAGACTATACTTTCTTTCCGTTTAACACAATTTAAATAATCATGGGAAAGCGATATTATTGCGCTTATTGTGACCGATCTTTTAAGGATGACCCAGAAGCCAGGAAAAGGCATCTTTCAAGTTTGCAACATGCGAAAAATCGCGCAGACCATTACAATCTGTATAAAGGTGATTATTTATCAATTTATATTTGTAAAATGTCTGGAAACGCTAGGAAATTCAATACATTATAAACATAACCTCAAAATTATCATTGTGTTTGTTTTGATATTAATTATCCGAGTATAAAAATAACATAATTGATATTTGTAGACCCGGAAGTTATATTGATGGAAGAAAGCGCGAAAACTCCATGCAAACGTTATTTAACTGTTGGTGATTGTGCATTTGGTCTTGGATGCAGATTTTCCCATTATACACCACACATGTTATGGGAACTACAACAGCTGGGTAATACACACAATTGTTTAGATATGGAGAAATATTGTACTGTGTATTTACACAAATTTTATTTGCAGTTGATATGAAAAATGCATCAAAGTTGTACGCAGTGCCTGAAAATGGTTGGCCCAATCCTGACGATATTCTTAAGGAATATTTTGAAAATGCTGAAAGTTCAAGCAATACAGAAGTACCTAATTGTTCTTCGTGGTTCAGGCCACTAGAAGTGCACGATTATTCAATGTTACCACCATCGTTATGGCCCATTACGTCAGAAAGTTTATCGGACAACTTGACTTTTAAGGAATGGGGTTGAAAATCTAATTCACATAAAATTACTACCAAAACTGAATTTGAACGGAGATATAAAAGCTACAACATTATTTAAAAATAAAATGACTTAGAGACTACAGAGTAACAAAGAAATGTAGACACTTTTATAGAATAAATACCTCAGAAATCCAGTAATACATTATTTTATACCGCATATAAAATTAGGATTCATCAAAAGGAGGAGAGTGTTTATTGCTTAAAATGTTAAATAATTCGTCGGTATTCACCCATTAAACCAATGCACCATCTCGCGAGACCGCGATGAATCAGACTCGGCGCCTCTCGGTTCTCGTCGGTAACCTTCGTTGCAACCATCTGTCCCCCGTCACCCCCGCCGCCAATCGCCGGACGGAAAGCCGAGCACAGCCGAACAGTCTGAGCACACAATGAACCCTTGCACACCATCATACAGTAGCGAAGCACCCGTTGCCACGGATAGTTTGGCGTTTCAGCGTTGTTCGGCGCGCCGCCGTGTCGTTTCGATTTGAAAAAGGAATATTGTACGCGCCTCGTGTTTGAATACCGCGATATCGTGATTATGAGATTGACTTGGTCCCGTGTTTCCCGTGTATTTCCACCGGTGTGCCACACAGGAGACATTGGAAGTGTTTGAAACTGTTAAGTGCGTCGACACGGCGGGACGCCGGCCCCTCGATCCGCCGACTGGATTTTCGATCGCCGCTGCGGATCATCACGATCGTTCCGGTGAGTTTTAACAAAAAAGTTTGCAATCTTTTCATTCGTACGGTGTATTCGTAATCGAATTCGAACGCTATTTTGTCACGTGAAATAAAAAAATGCTATATTGACGAGAATAGCGAGTAATTTACACGAACACAAAAATTTTCGGTGTTCCAATGAAAAGACGTGATTTCGTATAGGCAGACTGTACTGTATAGTAGATACGATATTATAGTGGAACGAAAGTATAGTGTGCACGTGATATATTACGCAGCGAATTCCTCGAACACCTGTAGAGTTGATGGAGTGGAATTCCCATTCTCGGAAGTATGGGGTTGTAAACAAACAAATAAACTTAGCGTTTTTTAACGCGTACGCGTGTGTTTGAACCGACAGGTATGAAGTGTCATTCAAATACAAATCGTTTCATTGGTCGCTACGTGTACGTGTCTCCACGGTTACGGGGGCGATTTAAATACAATAGATTGTCTTCGATTGCTTTGCGCAACCGGAACAACATTATCCTTGCTAACAATATACTATCAGATTATTATTCGAAGAATAATTAATCTTCCTTTTCTCATTTCTTTATTTTCCTGCTAGTGTATGCAATATGAGTTTTTATGCATATTTGTTTGGCTCTGTGGTATGAAAGACGAAGAAAACCATTTAAGAGATAATTCATATTTACGAGTTACTCTATAACCAACTGCTTGGTATGTAATTTTAGTTTCAATTTTTATTTTATTGGAATTATTATTATCGTTGGATAAACAGGTCTCAAGTGTTGTCATTATAGTAATTGGTCACTCGATAATAGTTATTTCGCGATTCTTGTGCGCCATATTGTATCGTGTAAACAGCGTTAAAAGTTTATACTCTCGGGTCGTTATGACAAGAGAAATCGGTTTATACTCGCACGTGATGATACCTTTTGATAATGTATGCATTATCGAGTATACGATAACATACTGAATATCGTATTGATTTATTGGACGTATTATACCCGTAATTTCAGATTGAAGAAACTAACGCATATTTCCATCACTTGTCATTACACATTTTTCAAACATAAGTGAAAAATTACTAACCTTAAAAGATGATTAAGATTTTGTTTATACATGGGACACAATTTGTTTTTTAGACATTTATTTACATTATTCAGAAACCTGTTAAACAGATGGGTTAGTGGGGAGAATAATTAAATGTCTCAATTTCTGATCAGTTATTTACATTTCTTTTTACACGTAGAAGTAAATGAATATATTGAGCAAACGTATCAGGAAATGCAGTTCAAGATATTTGTATCTCTTCATACATTTACCAGACATTATATAAATATATTCAGGGATTTATTAAATTTAAAAATATAAGATTATTAATAGCCATTAACCTTCATCAGGAGAGAATGGAGAATAACTTCAGAGGCTTTCAATACAAAGTAGCTGAAATTAATAATTCTAAAATATTTTACTTTTTTTAGTTCAGTTTATTTATCTAATAAAATAGTAGCATTAACCTTTTAATTATTTATTATACATATATGTATTATACAATATAGGTGTCTCAAAGGCTTGGCTATTTGGATGAAGGTTAAGGATAATAAACATCAGACCACAAAACGATAGAAAAAATACAAAAATTTTCCAATCAAATTTCATGCCATAGGAAAAATCTTACAAAAACTTGGTTAAAAGAAACTGAGTAGTTAGTTATTATTTATAATTCTCATTAAGAATCTTCTCGATACAAAGCATTTGCCCGTAAATCATCATAGTTTCCAGTATCCTCCACTAAAATCGTCGATTCACCCTATAACAACCCACCTCCCACATTTGAATATAATAAAACTAAAACTACACATCAATGTCCACAAGTCTAAACTACAAAAACTCCCATATCGACCGACATCAACGTACAATAACATTCCCCCTCCCCGTGGTACGTGCTCGATTGATTCCCCCGCAAATTACGTTTATTGTGGCGAGATTACATAAACGATATATGCCCGTGAATACTCAGCTCGTTCTTACTCGAGCGATACGACCGAATACAAGAGTGTGTATTTCATATCGAAACGGTGAATCGTTTCTATTACATCACTGATATAGTTTCCGTGCGTTGGCGCAACGCAGCGTCGTTGCAAAAAGGTTAAATGTACTGTGACGAGGCTCCGTGATGGCAACGACCCTGTGCGCCGCCATGGACGATGGTGGTGCGCGAGCGCCATCACGATTTCTTGACGGAGGTCGTAACCTTGCCGATATGGGGAAATAATCGCGTGTGCGCACACCGTGCGACGGGGATCGTCCCCGTGAGTCAGTTTCCCGATCGATTTCGAGCGTGCACACACACTTCATTCGCCTGGTCCATTGTCACGTCGTTCCGCTCGCGGCACAATGGACTTGTCTATTTTCGAGCAGCTGCACAGGCTCTCTCATCGTACAATACACGCACACACGGTCCTGAAGAATACACGAAACTGGTCGGTTTTGGCGATCATGCGTCTCGTAGACACGCCTGACACATTAATCAGGGGGGGTCTGAGATTTTGCGATGATCGACTGCTTCGATAATGTCTAGGGGTAGTTAGGCGAATGGTCAGAGGAGATTGTATATTTAGAAGCGTTTTCTGATCATAAGAAAAGTGGTAAATTTAACCCTGTTAGGGCCTATGGAACTATTTCGATCCAATCAGGCTTTTGTTTCTTTAAGGTTGTTATATCCCTTGTGTCAATTTGACACATTTTTCTCTTAAGAAAGGGTGTTTATCTGTCATTAGGCTCCGTGGCTTTTATTTTAAAGAATTTGCAAATTTAATTATTTATCTCTTTATTCTTTTAATTTTTTAACACGGCATTGATTTGACATCTAGGGGCGAATTGGGTTGGGAAAATAGGGGTTAATTTTCGTCTCTGTAGAAATGTTCTTAGGTTTTCGAAGTGTCTAAAGAAATTGTTATTAATCTACGTGTTCTTCTTACTCCTCCTTATTTCGAATGTATAGCTGGTCCGAAATACTCTTTTTCTACTGCCACTGATGTGTCATAACTGTTGGGTATACTAATAAGGGTTTTACCTATGCTGAACCTAACCTGTTATTCATACCAATAGTGTTTTGTCTTTATTTTTTTCTTCTGTTTTGTATTCAGTGTAGTTGTACTAAGTGTAATAAACACGTATTATAATATTGTTACGGTTCTTATATGTCAGTGTGCTATTCGAAAGGTGTTGCAGTAGCGATGAATTGTTAGGTTAGTTGCCCTAAAAGGGCACAGATTACAGCCGAAATCTTTAACAGTAACAACTATATCATAGTGGGCCGTGGGAAACTCAGATTTTTTTATGTCACTGAACAACTTGGATTCCATTCAAAGGCACCTGAATTTGTGTATTTTTAACGCGTTTCGTGTCACGCGGGCTCTACCGGTGACCCACTGTTTGCAGGGTGAGTCATGCTATTGAGCTGGGGATAGCTCCTGTTTTGTTGGGGATAGAAAATAAAAGCAAGAGGAGGGGATTCTGTGATCCACCAGCCCCTGCTTTCTCGTGGACTTGTTTCTTTCATTGGTGCAATGATGAAAAGTGCAATAGCATTTTTTTTCTGTTACTAAAAATATTTTTGCTCTGATCAATTCTCCTGCTTTGGCCTTTTTAAGCTATTAAACTCTTCGTATCTGCAATGGAACCGGGAGATTTTATTTTTTTAGTTAAATGGTTAGAACTTTGACAAGGGAATATAAAGTAGTGCAGAATTTGACATTAAATTTGATAAATTTTATGAAAACTACCGCGTTTAGAAATTTGAAGCGAAGGAAATGATTAAAGAAATACTTATCTACTTGCTCTAACATCTGTCTCTTCTTGTGAGTATTTCAAGTAGCGTAAATAATCGAACAATTAACTAAACCATTCAGTCAAGGAATTTGAAACGTTTTGATGATTCGACGCGTTCTCGACAACCTTAATGCCATAAGTATTGCGTAAACGCAGGCAGGTGACAAAAATGCGTTCTTATAATTTTTGATCAAAAATTTGTCGATGAAGTTATGGTAAATTAAATTTTTACTCTTATCTTATATAGCAATCAGGAAATAATTGTAAAACAAAAAAGGTTCTTTAAAATCAACGAAGCGTAGTGTTTCGGGTCGTTGAATTTTATTATATTACATCGCAGAAGAAAATCATGGTAGTTAGGAAAGAACTTATATATAATACATATAACAGGTAATTTATACGTAAAATTCATAGTGCAATGATTAAATTATAAATAAAATTATTTTTCAATAGAATAATATCAATGGATGTACAATGTAGTTATTAAATTATAAATAAAATGATTGGTAACCCTAGAACGCAAACATAGGGTGATCAGTTACCTCAATAAATAAACGTAATAACTGCT